CTGATGCCTGTATCTATCATATATCTCTTATAGATTCATGAGGTTCCTTACGATCGTAATCCCGCTAGATACAAGCGCAAATCCATTCAAAAATAACTCTTCTTACCCAGTTTTCCAAGCTAAACACGAATTTGAACTTAATTTCTGTGATTTCTAAAGATATTATATCACTCTAAGAGTAGAGTCAGTGGTCACCGGATATGGCCGCATACAGTGTGGTCCATGCTAACTTAGCACGCCTGTATTTTCTCCTTGCAATTTAGTAACAAGGGATTATCTTGATGAGATCTATGTCTTATAGAAAAAAAAGTGAATATACCTTTTCACTTTTTGAAGTACACGTAACAGTCGGATTTAAATCCGAGGTTTGCGCATTTATTTCTGGATTTTTTCGTAATTTTTTTGCACTTTTTGAGGACATTTTTTTAAATTTTTTCTGGATTTTTCGGATTTTTTTCTGAATTTTTCCAATTTTGAGATTTAAATTCCGGATTTTCGTGTTTAACATCTGGCAACATTGGAAGTAGCTCAGCAGATCGAACTTAATGTAGTATAAGTTTCATTTTGTGGAACACAATGCAAGACAATTTTTCGAATACTGGAGAATGGCTCATGTCTCCATCCTCCCGCTGTCGTGGTACCTCTGGGCTTAATGCTCTGCAACGACTAAATATATTAATATGAAACGAATAAAGACAGTAGACTGCCCTATGGCGATTACTACATGACTATATGTTATACAATTCTTCAAACATATTTGCACTGATCCACAAGAGAAGGTATTAGTGATGTGCTTGTTTGTTCAACCTACTTTGTTGAAAAATACAAAGAGATATTCTTGTCATAAAAGATGCTTTATCTCAAATTCGAAAAATAAAATTTCCAAGCACAAGTACTGACCCCCGAGTACGAGTACGAGTACTGACCCCACGAGTACGAGTACTTCGAGTATTTTGCCCACCTCTGTGCCCCTTTTTATTGTTCTATGAATCATGCAAAATCTATGGTATGTCTAATGTAGAAAAATAATAATAATAATGGCGTTTCAAATCATAGTCATAGGTCTTTTTCAAAAAATATTCATCATATTTAGAAGAAGAATTCGAGCTCGTCTATGGGTGTGGGTATGTGTGACGATATTATACACACCCACACCATCAGGTTTTGTAGAGAATTGAGCGCTGAATGTTCTGAGAAAACTTCAGCCTGAAACAATTCAAACTGATAGAGATATTGAAAAAATACTGAGACGATCATTCCTTATGGTCTAACTCTTTATCGTAAATGTAAGTATAATATACTATTTAAGCCAGACATTCTATTTTTATATGTTGTCTACATTTTCAAAATGAATCAATGAAGTGAAAAATGACGCTGACTCTTTTTTTCTTTTTGTATTTTTTATTGATCGATCAGGAAATTGATAATTGCGAATAGTTCATATACAAATGGGTTCAGAACAATATAGTCAATAATCAAAAACGTGGTAAAATACCATTGATCGTCCATTGCCAGCATTTAATGAACGATATAAATATGTCGTTCTGTAAATAATCATTCATATGTTCGATTTCTGATTGAGGAATAAACAATGAATAATCAAACAAGATGGTTGATCTCATTGTTATCACGGTTTGATTCACAGTATCATGGAGAGATATGTGAAATTGGTGAATTCTGGTGTTAACTAATCTCGAAGTAATTGGTACAAAAAGTAAAGTGGCATTCGCGAGACTGTTATGATAATTACCCAGGTCGAACGATCTGAACCTCGGATCCCATCGGAAACCTAGAGTAATCCGATATTTTCCGATAGGAAGTTATCGGGTGTTGGATCCGACGATTTTCGACAATAAAATCCGACAATCAGAAAATGTCGGATAGCTTAGGATCCGACACTTTTTACTGTCAGTAACGCCAAGCACCATTTTCCCAACATTGCTGCTTCATTTGCAGCAGCTTTACTTTATTTGGCTAATTGAAAACTAATAAAAGAGGAGCTACATTTTTTTTTGGTTTGATTTACATTTATAATCAGTTCATATTAGAATCGTTCATACAAAGAGAAAAAAGATGGCATACATAGTGCAAAACAAAAATATGAAAATATCTGAACTAATACTTTTACGCATCAAGAGCTGGTCATATATAAAAAAAAAACGAAAGAAAAGTATCATTACTAGATTCAGTTCTATATAAGCCAAAGTATTTATTATTAATCTCGATCACATGCTGAAATTAGTGGTGGTTCTGTTGATTCTTTCTTGCGTGCTCGCTTACCTTGGTCGGACAAAAAATTGGCCAGTTTGGGTCTAATCAACTTGTGAAACAAATCCGTCGTATTGACTTTCATTTGTGTTATTTTTATATCCTAACGATCCTAAAAAAATCAGAATCGAATAAATAAAAAGATCAAAACCTCTATAAAAATAAGTGCATCAAAAACATTTTTAAATGAAATACTTTACATTATCTGCACTTCTAAGAGTAATTTCCAAGTACCAGTTTTACCTCTTATCTATTTTTTTTTGCACTCAAAAGACGCATCGACACTAGAAAAATGACTGCTTCTGCATAGTGAACTTACCATACGTGATAAAAAATTCACAAGTAGAAAATTAAAAATTAATAAACAAATGTAACACAATCAAAAAGATTTTTATCATGACCAAGTATTATGTCCTAAAATAGATAAAACTACAGATTTGCAAAATGCGATACTAGAACTTGCGTGGAAAATTCAGATTCAACTAAAATAAAAAACTACGCCAAACAAATAGTTTTAATATTTTAAAGTTAAAAGTCATTACCACGAACTGAGCCATCACGAAGTAAGGATGACATGGAACATCTTCGAATATTACTCTTGATTAATATCAAACCCAAATCATTCAGTCAATATGTTTCTTTGGCATCAAATAAAGATTTACGAATATTGGTACAAACCAATCGTGTTTGAATAACAATAATTGGTGAGAGGTTTCAGAGAAAGCTTCATCATGCTTTTAATCTAAAACTTGAATTAGAAACTGACATAAAATATGTTTAGTAGAGAAATCGAATATCAACAATAAAAGATGGCGTTCCAACGCATGTGCTGGAAAGACAATTAGAGCCACGAAACAAATAGATGATATGATGTCGATTGAGCGAAACTTAGAATAGCAAAAATAAAAACTGTGAAAGGCAGAGTAAGCGAAACGCAAAGTTTTTCTAGCAAAAAACAGCGATTATAGAAAGTAGAGAAATTTTTCCTTGATAATATTCGATTGTTTGCATTTGACGCTGTATCATCATGTCGATGAGCGTAAAACATATACGTATACGAGTTCCACATTTTAGCCCCAGTGGAGCTTCGCTGAAAAAACGTTTTTATACCGTTTGATGGTCATCTATTACACTTCTTTTAAATTAAAATGTTTTACTCTTCACAATTCACGCAAAACATATTTTTGCTATTTGTCTTGCTGTTGATTCATGGTATCAGCATCTAACAGAACTTCTACCATTCAATAGAATACATGGCTATATTACGCTTTTTCAGTGAAATGTTTTTTCACAAATTCATCACAAGATGAAAACAAAAGTATTCACTGATGGAGTAAAAATAAATTTTCCCCGTTTTTTATGCACATCTGTTTCCATAACTGTATATAAAATCCTAAATCATCTTCTCGTGGGATGGAGAGTGTCGTTTTCCTCTTCAAATAAGATTTTGAAGAGCAATTACTAGTGAACACGAATAATTGGTTTTGGTAAACGTCCGTCACTTTCTCAACATTTGACTAGCTTGATATTTTATTACACTTTTGTAGTGCTAATAGAGATGCAACATTTAAAATGAATGCTAAGTAGTTGACAGTCTAGTAATATGAGAAAAAAATGCAAATTCATAAGTATAAGTTTATCATATATGGGAGGAATTTTTATACATAAACTCGCTTGAATGTGATCACTCCGACGATGGTCGAGTTTATCGTCGTGTACAAACGTAATTTGGAACAAAACCATAGGAGGTAATCATTATAAGTGAATAGCATTGAAATATATATTTAAAAGACGATGCATTTGAGCAGTTTTCTGGAAACAGCATCGAGAATTTGTATAGCGCATAGAACTCACTGTAAAAATACGTAAATCTAATATTTTCAACGAAGGAAGTCGGTGGCATATAATATTTGCAACTTCTTCGAATTCAATTATTTCAAGATGTTGACGACATTGATTAACAACAATATGAAATTCTCGCAAATTGAAAAAGAGTGAAAAAAGAAAATCGAATTGACCATTGTGAAATAGAAACTCACGGAGACGACCAAGTCGAACGTATATCATAGACAGAAACCAACCATTTTTCAAAGTCAAATGAGGTATTACATCGTCACACAAAAAGACAAGATAATCTAAAGAAGGGCATAACGATAAGATTTTCTCAAATTCATTGCCATACTGTTGTCGTATAGCCAATTGCTGAAGATTTTCTAGTCGAGTATTTACCGATAGCGAAAAAGGGACTGGATCACTCCTACCAAGATGACATATTTCCAAGTGAGGAAAATGACCACTAAATATAAATTGAACCAGATTTGATGAGCTTGCTGGCAAGATAAGTGATCGTAGCTGAGAACAAATATCAGGACAAATTATATTTTCTAGCTCATTTATCAGTAGGGGATACCAATCAGAATCTAATGAAGGATAAGCTTGAAGTAAACAATTTCCACCTTGTGTGACATAAGGCTGCCGAAAGCGGTATCCTCTTAAATGACGAACATCAAAATGGATTGCTGTGAACGAGTGGGAAAACGAAATAATTGTTTCTAAATGATCATTGGCCATTAAAGTTAAGTATGGTAATGATTTAATGATTTCCTTGAGACGGCTATTCACCTGAGAAAATGACAAATAGATTTCAGCAGCTGTAAAATAATCAAAAAATTCTATTAAAATTCCAACGGACAAGTCTTCGATTCGAGTTACGGTTGAGCAGTCTATGCCCATGCTACATTCTATATGATCATATTCGCATTGCTGCTGCTTTTTATAATCAATAGACAAAGATAGCTATCTGCCATTGCATCATTTTGTTCCACAAAATCACCAATACAATCGAAGCACTGAACAATACATGACAAGAAACAGCAAAGCTGGTGATTTTGTTGATACGGTGAAGTTTTACGAAACGATATTTAAGTTTCCACAGATCTTTTTTTCTCAAAAAAGAAATTGATAAGGATATGTCAGACAAAGAAATACTAAAATGAATATTTGAATTCTATACCAGTGGATATCTTTTGTAAAACAGTCACAAAAATACTATCAATTTGCTTATTTTCATATCGAAAAAAATCATCTATGAGAATGAATGGGCTTGGTTCCAGTCAAAAAATGGCACGATTTGTCCATATCTGATTGATAGATAATATTTCTATTTACAACCATATGATTTGTGAGCATTCAAATTACATATCTATTTTAAAAAGCCAGTTTTTCAAAATCTCATCACTCAAAATTTTATTTAATTAGTTGAATAGATTGGAGTGTCAGTGTATGAGTTAAAACAAATCCAGTTATCACACTTATTCTTTTGTTGTATTATACGTTATTCCGATATTAAGTGTACCTTGTTGTTATTGTTGTTGTTGTTGAGAAAAATAAACGATTTCATATTGACTATATGCATTCGTATAATATTTAGTACTATATATATTTTGTTTTGCAATAGTATTATATTAATTTCCGCTACTTTCTATTCTAAATCCTTGTTTTCGATTTTCTCGGTTTTAGCTATCGGAATATTGATATTCATTAACAGTGGAAAGATTTTTTACTGTCTCTGAAATAGTCTTTGCCAATTCACCTTTACGGCAATTACTCCACGGTGCAACAAATTGCGATTGTGTCTGATACTAGCTTCACGGTTTCATTTGTAACCATTGATTTTTGCATTTGATATATTTGTATATAAAGAAGTTAGAAATTTGACAGTCATTTGATGATGAAAATTAAATTCTTTCAAAACAAATTTATTGAATTTAGTATGTAAATTCATGTAAGGGAAGTTAGCGACAGATTCGAGCTTTTCCTGAAACGATTCATCCCATCAATCGTCCCACTTTTTGAACATAGCGTGCCAGATAGAACTCGATGAGCTCTATCTAATGCTATATTCAAAAATTACGATAGTATGAAAGCTGAAAAAACATATATCAAAATATGATTCATCACCATGGGACAAAATGTACACTTTTTATATTTCCTGAATATATTCGATTCATCGCGCGTGCCACTTTTGAAACTTATGCCATTCGATGCAGCTTGATGAGTTCTATCTAGTACAGTGTTCAAACCTACCATCTTTAAAACCCATGAACCTAAAATATTCAACACACCTGTGAAATTCGGGAATTTTGTGATATTTCATCTACCGATTCGCCCAATAACGTATGCCAACGCCAAAAACCAATTGAGTCGACTCAGATCAACGAGCTCTATCGATTGATGTGTCCTTTGATATACAGAACAGTACTAAAAGAGCAACAACATTCGTAAATTCAGTTATGCTACATTTATCGCAAACATTAACTTTTACAGATTCGATCCAAAACACGTGCCACTCACAAACGCAATTACAGTTGATGCAGCTTAATAAGACCTACCGATCGATGTATAATTTCATATGATAACTTATAATAAATGAGTTATGTAACCAGAATTATGCTGCTATTGCACAAGTGAACCAATTTTTCTTTTCCGTGGGGATTCGCTTGATTATGTGTGCCAATCACAATTTATATCTCACTTGATGCAGCTCTGTGAGTTCTATCGATTAGTATATGGTTTGGTATGATTAGCATTACTATACCAACACCAGCCCTCAAATATTAACTAATCTACATAAAAAAATTATTATTTTCGTGAGCGATTCGCTTGAGTCGGTGTACCAACGATGATGCATATCTTCTTCGACGCAGCTGGATGAATGCTATCAAGTGATGTGTCGTTTTGTATGATTACCATTACTATACGCGACGAAGAAGCCCCAAATAGTAATTAAACTACAGCAAAAAATGATTATTTTCTTGAATAATTTGCTTTGTTGGGTGTGTCAATGATGATACATATGTCAATCGATGCAGCTCAACGAGTTCTATCGTTTGATACATGATTTGGCATGATTAACAATACTGTGCCAGCAACAGCACTTATACATCAAGTATATGATGTTGACAGTACTTAGTTTTGTGAATGATTCACTTGAGTAAAAGAGCCAATGTTGATAGATACATCATTCGGCGCAGCTAGATGAATTCTATCGATTGATGTACCGTTTGGTATGATTAGCGTCGCCATACCAACAAGAGCCCCCTAATATGAATTAACTTACATAAAAAAAAAACTTATTTTCGTTAGCGACTCGCTTCACTATGCGTGCCAGTGTTGAATCTAACCTCATTATATGCTTTTCGATGGGTTGTATCGATTGGTGTATGCCTGGATGTGATGAAGACTACTACATCAACAATAACCCGAAAGACCAATTATGTTACATACAAAATCATCCCTATGAGATAATTGCAGTTGACCAGGCATACAACTGATGATTAATAGCTCAAGCAATGCAGCTGTCTGTGTTCTATCAGTTGATGTATCATTCAAC